AAAAAGGAGTTGGAAGTTATATGCAAAAGTCATTCGAATATTGAAATTTATTGGTATTAAAGTGAAAGTTATTTTCGAGGTAACTACAACTCTAGCCAAAAATTTAAGCCTTCTTTTTAAATAGTTTAAGCTACATCATATTATCGCAACTGGTACGTAACGACCCGGCGATATGCCCATAAAACGATTCATCTATTTGTTGTATTAATTTCTTGGGCATATCAAATATTATCTAAAATATGTCAACTATAATTAAATTATTTTCATCTTATTTTTTACATTACAGTTTAAGGAAGTTCCAACGTAATGTAAAAAACCTTAAGAAAATACTAAAGTATTTTGTTTGAATACAAAATTCAGTACTAATCAGCACAAATTTTGAAAAACTAGGACATTAGCGTACTGATTGATGAAATTAATAAAATCAGTACAAGACTTGATAAATCAGTACTGTACTGATAAAATCAGTACGTCTGGCAACCGTAGTATCAAGATAATGCAAAACCGCGTATGTGAGATTGCATAAATTATTTTCATATTTCAAAATGGTTCTCTTATTCACAAAGCAATCGCATTTCTGGCTATTATATTTCAAGACGAATGGAGTCAAGAGCTTGTGTGAGCAAATACCATTTTTGGCAGCAAATGTCAGTTACGCGGTTTTGCAGAATGATGATAAGCGGGTTTTGTTCTTTAAACGACAGTATGTAAACTTATAGTACCTATATTCACAAGAGAATTGCCGATTAATAACAAATATGATGTAAGGAGCTTGTATTTTTTCTCTTGTCTGATTTTTTTATTACATGTACATATATACATAAGTATGTACATATCGTCGTTTAAAGTACAAAACCGCGTATCAACAAAATGCAAAACCGCGTATAAAGATAATGCAAAACCGCGTATGTGAGGTTGCATAAATTATTTTCTAGAGAGTAAAAACACTCATATTTTAAAATGATTATCTTTTTTATAAAGCAATCGCATTTTTGGCTAGTTATTTCAGGACTAATGGAAAGGATTGAACCAAGAGCTTGTGTGAGCAAATCCAATTTTTGGCAGCAAATGTCAGTTACGCGGTTTTGTAGAATGACGATACGCGGTTTTATGCTGGGACAGTGGAGGAGGAGGAGTTCAATATAAAAATTTGGAAAGTTGCAGGGAGAAAATAGTTGTCCGTACATTTAGAAAAAAAATGTGTACTTAAGGGTAAGTTCTTGTAAAAAGTTGCAAATAAGTTTTTAAGGCAGCAAAATCGTACGATATTTTCTCAAACTACATATATGTATCATTACTTTAAACAATCAATTGCTGTAAATATGTATGTATATGGGCAAATCTAAAAACCCGGCTACCTTTGTGTTATTTAGCTTTATTTTCACTGTTGGAAACTATATATCAAGCTGGTCGCTTTTGGATATAATTCATTGACGTATACTTGAAGCTTAAAAAAAAATTTGGATCAATTTGCTGCATAACTTTAGAATTATAGGTGTTTAAATAAAAAAAAATTATGAAAACAAGTGAATTTTTTATGTAATTTTTAAGAGGTGCAAAATTAATTATGTCATAACTTTTGAAGCACACCATATACTGATTTGAAATTTTATGTGCAATTAGTACTTATGTGTACACTTCATATGTAGTAGGTAATAAGAGTGTGCATTAAAAAATAACGAAATGGCAAGTAACTAAAAGTCTGTAATTCCACATTTCACAATTTTCAAAATTTTCGGTTTATCGCGTATAGTTTTTGAAGCATTTAAGTTTAAGAACTTTTTAAGTATGTATTGTTTGTATTACGAATAATTTGATACCTGAGCAAGAGCTGTGCTTTCAGAATAAACCTACTTTTAAAGATAAAATATTCTGCGATCATGAGCGTAATTTTTGTTCCAAAAACACTTTAATTAAAGGCACATTTGGAAAATACGTCGAAACGATGTAAATCTTTCTATAACTGCTAGTCCTTATAAAATTACATATACCTTCAAAATGCTTCAAAAAATTTTTCTCTAGAAGTGTATAAAAACCCTGATTTACTACTTTTAATGATGCTCCTTCTTTTAGTCAGAATATTTCAAGAGTGGTATCAAAGCAACTTTTTTTCGACAATTGTTCTGATAGTTGCTCTTACTTAATTGGAGCCTTCTGAATTCAATGGCGTCCTAAGTTTTACCCTATTGGCTCCACTTTTCGAGATAGTGGTACTTGAAACTTTAATTATTTTAATTATTTTATAAAAATAAGTCCCTGGGTTTTGAAGATATTTTAATAAAATTTTGCACATAACCGTTTTTTAATATTACCTTAACTATTTCATAAAATCATCGAAATCGGTTCACTAAAATATATAGCTCCCATACAACTGATTGATCAGAGATGTTGTTTTGCGTTATAACTCCTCAAATTAAACAGGTTAAAATTTAGTATAGGTTCAATTTGACATATAGCACGCATACAATTTATTATTCAGTTATGAAGTTAAAATTATAGCGCAAAAACACATATCTGAGTAATCAGTTGTATTGGAGCTATAGGTTAATGTGAACATATTTCGATAATTTTAAGGAATAATTAAGGTAATATTAAAAAACTGTTATGTGCAAAATTTTAGTAAAATAACTTCAAAACTGGCGGAGTTATTTATAAAATAGTTAAAACTTAATCATATTTTCAAGTACCGTTATCTCGAAAACCGGAGCCAATCTGGTAAAACAGGGTACGCCATTGAATTTGGAACGTCCCAATTAAGCGAGTTCAACTTTCAAAATCTTTGCTCAAAGTTTACAACTTGAACAGCGTAATTTGCACCCAGCTTATTCTTTTGTTTTCTATTTCATGTTTATTCCTTGTCTAACTTTTGAAGCACTTGATGAAAATGAATTACACTTATATTAATCGATTTATTAAGAGATTATGAATAAAATGATATATAAAACATAGGTGTGCTTAGAAGTTTAAAAATTAAAATTTTTTTTTTTTGAAAGTGTACCTATTTTGTAGATTTGCCCATATATATCCAAAGGTTTCTTGGAAACGACTCTAACGATTTTTATGGAATTTCGTATTCAGATAATTTTTTTAATTTTATCTGGAGATATTTGTACAAAGTTTCCACGTTTCCAAATTATTTATAATTATTAATTCTAAGAAGGCAAAAAAGATTCACTAAAAAATGTAAGTTAAAAGACATCTCAAATAAAACAAACTACTATATCTATAGTTAGTTCGATAAGTGATAAGTGTATGAAATTTTTGCGTGTTAGATAAGGTGCCAATTATTTCAATAAAATTCAACATAATGGTACGGAGCAACCATTGCTTTTTAATCATATGTTATTTTGATTAAGTTTCTTTTTTAAACAGGTAGCAATCCTACTAAATGTAATTGAAAATTGAGCCGCCTGAAATCAAAGCCGGCTTGGATGATACCCTTAGCGTAGTAATTCATTGAAATTAATTGAATTACAGTTTTTGCCAGGTGGCAAACCATCTCATGTTGCATTGTTAAAATTAATTTAACCTTTCATATACATTGGATTCAATTTGTAAGCAAGTGGCAGCCCCGTTAAAAATAGTTTCAAACTATAACCTTATTAAACTTTTCAGTCTGACACCAATATTGTTATACATATTTCAGTTACCTAATTCGATTGATACCCATATTGATACCCATATTGTAGTAATCATTTAACTTAATTGCATTTGATCTTTTAGCACATGGCAACCCTTTTGATGTTCTAACCTAAATATAAACCTTCTCCGCGATTATATGAATACGTAGGTATCAATGTTTCCACAATCGGACACTTCGTTTCTAAATCGGTCAAATACCCCAATGTGCGACGATATGTACATTTAAATTTTTTTT